TGTTGCTGGTGGTGTTGCTGCTGGTGTTGGTAGTGTTGCTACTGGTGTTGGTAGTGTTGCTGCTGGTGTTGCTGCTGGTGTTGTTGTTGTTGGTGTTGGTAGTGTTTCTGCTGGTGTTGGTAGTGTTTCTGCTGGTGTTGGTAGTGTTTTCTGCTGGTGTTGCTGCTGGTGTTGGTAGTGTTGCTGCTGGTGTTGATGTTGGTGTTGCCGCTGGTGTTGTTGGTGTTGCTGCTGGTGTTGTTGATGGTGTTGATGCTGGTGTTGTTGGTGTTGCTGCTGGTGTTGTTGGTGTTGCTGCAGGTGTTGTTGGTGTTGCTGCTGGTGTTGGTAGTGTGGCTGCTGGTGTTGTTGGTGTTGCTGCTGGTGTTGTTGGTGTTGCTGCTGGTGTTGCTGCTGGTGTTGCTGCTGGTGTTGCTGCTGGTGTTGCTGCTGGTGTTGCTGCTGGTGTTGTTGGTGTTGCCGCTTGTGTTGTTGGTGTTGCTGCTGGTGTTGCTGGTGGTGTTGCTGCTGGTGTTGGTAGTGTTGCTACTGGTGTTGGTAGTGTTGCTGCTGGTGTTGCTGCTGGTGTTGTTGTTGCTGCTGGTGTTGGTCGTGTTTCTGCTGGTGTTGGTAGTGTTTCTGCTGGTGTTGGTGCTGGTGTTGTTGGTGTTGCTGCTGGTGTTGTTGTTGGTGTTGCCGCTGGTGTTGTTGGTGTTGCTGCTGGTGTTGTTGATGGTGTTGTTGATGGTGTTGATGCTGGTGTTCTTGGTGTTGCTGCTGGTGTTGTTGGTGTTGCTGCAGGTGTTGTTGGTGTTGCTGCTGGTGTTGGTAGTGTGGCTGCTGGTGTTGTTGGTGTTGCTGCTGGTATTGTTGGTGTTGCTGCTGGTATTGTTGGTGTTGCTGCTGGTGTTGTTGGTGTTGCTGTTTGTGTTCTTGGTGTTGTCGCTGGTGTTGTTGGTGTTGTTGGTGGTGTTGCTGCTGTTGGTAGTGTTGCTGCTGATGTTGGTAGTGTTGCCGCTGGTCTTGTTGGTGTTTCTGTTGGTGTTATTGGTGTTGCCGCTGGTGTTCTTTGTGTTGCTGTTGGTGTTGTTGGTGTTGCTGCTGGTGTTGTTGGTATTGCTGCTGGTGTTGTTGGTGTTGCTGCAGGTGTTGTTGGTGTTGCTGCTGGTGTTGGTAGTGTTGCTGTTTGTGTTGTTGGTGTTGCCGCTGGTGTTGTTGGTGTTGCTGTTGGTGTTGTTGGTGTTGCTGCTGGTGTTGTTGGTGTTGCTGCCGGTGTTGGTAGTGTTGCCGCTGGTCTTGTTGATGTTTCTTTTGGTGCTGTTGGTGTTGCTGCTGGTGTTGGTAGTGTTGCCGATGGTGTTGGTAGTGTTGCCGATGGTGTTGTTGGTGTTGTTGTTGGTGTTGCTGATGGTGTTGTTGGTGTTGCTGCTGGTGTTGTTGGTGTTGCTGCTGATGTTGGTAGTGTTGCCGATGGTGTTGTTGTTGGTGTTGCTGATGGTGTTGTTGGTGTTGCTGTTGGTGTTGCCGCTGGTGTTGTTGGTGTTGTTGGTGTTGCTACTGGTGTTGTTGGTGTTGCTGCTGGTGTTGTTGGTGTTGCCGCTTGTGTTGTTGGTGTTGCTGCAGTTGCTGCTGGTGTTGTTGTTGGTGTTGCTGATGGTGTTGGTAGTGTTGATGCTGGTGTTGCTGTTGTTGTTGCTGCTGGTGTTGGTAGTGTTGCGCTGGTGTTGCTGCTGGTGTTGTTGTTGCTGCTGCTGGTGTTGTTGGTGTTGCTGCTGGTGTTGCTGCTGGTGTTGTTGGTGTTGCCGCTTGTGTTGTTGGTGTTGCTGCTGGTGTTGCTGGTGGTGTTGCTGCTGGTGTTGGTAGTGTTGCTACTGGTGTTGGTAGTGTTGCTGCTGGTGTTGCTGCTGGTGTTGTTGTTGTTGCTGCTGGTGTTGGTAGTGTTTCTGCTGGTGTTGGTAGTGTTTTTTCTGCTGGTGTTGCTGCTGGTGTTGGTAGTGTTGCTGCTGGTGTTGTTGGTGTTGCTGCTGGTGTTGTTGGTGTTGCTGCTGGTGTTGTTGGTGTTGCTGCTGGTGTTTGTAGTGTTGCTTTTGGTGTTGTTGGTGGCGCTGTTGGTGTTGTTTGTGTTGATACTTGTATTGCTTGTGTTGCCGCTGGTGATGTTGATGTTGCTCTTGGTGTTGTTGGTGTTGCTGCTGGAGTTGTTGGTGCTGCTGGTAGTGTTGTTGGTGTTGCTCTTGGTGTTGTTGGTGTTGTTTTTGTTGTTGGTGTTGTTGGTGTTGCTTCTGGTGTTGGTAGTGTTGCCGCTGGTGTTGTTGGTGTTGCCACTGGTGTTTTTGGTTTTGCCGCTGGTGTTGATGCTGTTGTTGGTGTTGCTGCTGGTATTGTTAGTGTTGCCGCTGTAAATGTTGGTGCTGTTGCTCAGGTGTTTGGTGTTGCCGCTGGTGTTGTTAGTGGTGCCGCTGGTGTTGTTGGTGTTGCCGCTGGTGTTGTTAGTGTTGCCACTGGTGTTGTTGGTGTTGCCGCTGTTTTTTTTGGTATTGCAGCTGGTGTTGCTAGTGTTGCCGCTGGTGTTATTAGTGTGGTCGCTGGTGTTGTTAGCGCTGCCGCTGGTGTTCCTGGTGTTGCCGCAGGTGTTGTTTCTGTTGCCGTAGGTGTTGTTGGTGTTGCTGCTGTGTTGCCCCTGGCTGTTGTTAGTGTTGCCGCTGATGCTTTTGTTGTGGTTAGTGTTGCCGTTGATGTTATTGGTGTTGCTGCTAGTGTTGTTGGTGTTGCGCTTGATGTTTTTGGTGTTGCTGCTGGTGTTGTTGGTGTTGCCGCTGGTGTTGTTGGTGTTGCTGCTGATGTTGTTGGTGTTGCGGTTGGTGTTGTTGGTGTTGCGGCTGGTGTTGTTGTTGTTGCGGCTGGTGTTGTTGGTGTTGCGGCTGGTGTTGTTGGTGTTGCGGCTGGTGTTGTTGGTGTTGCCGCTGGTGTTGTTAGTGTTGCCTCTGGTGTTTTTAGTGTTTCCGCTGGTGTTGTTAGTGATGCCGCTGGTGTTGTTGGTGTTGCCGCTGGTGTTATTAGTGTTGCTGATGGTGTTGATGGTGTTGTTGGTGTTGCCGCTGGTGTTGTTGGTGTTGCTGCTGTTGTTGGTAGTGTTTCTGTTGGTGTTGCTGCTGGTGTTGGTAGTGTTGCTGCTGGTGTTGTTGGTGTTGCTGCTGGTGTTGTTGGTGTTGCTGCTGGTGTTGTTGGTGATGCTGATGGTGTTGTTGGTGTTGCCGCTGGTGTTGTTGGTGTTGCTGCTGGTGTTGCTGGTGTTGCTGCTGGTGTTGGAAGTGTTGCTGCTGGTGTTGTTGGTGTTGATGCTGGTGTTGTTGGTGTTGCTGATGGTGTTGCTGGTGTTGCTGCTGGTGTTGTTGGTGTCGTTGGTGTTGTTGCTGGTGTTGGTAGTGTTGCTTTTGGTGTTGTTGGTGTTGCTGCTGGTGTTGGTAGTGTTGCTTTTGGTGTTGTTGGTGTTGCTGTTGGTGTTGTTGGTGTTGCTGTTGGTGTTGTTGGTGTTGCTGATGGTGTTGCTGGTGTTGCTGCTGGTGTTGTTGGTGTCGTTGGTGTTGTTGCTGGTGTTGGTAGTGTTGCTGCTGGTGTTGTTGGTGTTGCTGCTGGTGTTGGTAGTGTTGCTTTTGGTGTTGTTGGTGTTGCTGTTGGTGTTGTTGGTGTTGCTGGTGGTGTTTTTGGTGTTGCTGCTGGTGATGTTGGTGTTGATGGTGTTGTTTGTGTTGCCGTTGGTGTTGTTGGTGTTGCTGTTGGTGTTGTTGTTGTTGTTGCTGCTGGTGTTGCCGCTTGTGTTGTTAGTGTTGAGGCTGGTGTTGTTTGTGTTGCCGCTGGTGTTGTTGGTGTTGCTGCTTTTGTTGTTGGTGTCTGGTGGTGTTGTTGGTGTTGCCACTGGTGTTGTTGGTGTTGCTGCTGGTGTTGTTTTTGTTGCTGCTGGTGTTGTTGGTGTTGTTAGTGGTGCCGCTGGTGTTGTTGGTGTTGCCGCTGGTTTTGTTGGTGTTGCCGCTGGTGTTGTTGGTGTTGCTGCTGGTGTTGTTGGTGTTGCTGCTGGTGTTGTTGGTGTTGCTGCTGGTGTTGTTGGTGTTGCTGCTGGTGTTGTTGGGGTTGCTGCTGGTGTTGTTGGTGTTGCTGTTGGTGGTGTTGCTGCTGGTGTTGCTGCTGGTGTTGTTGGTGTTGCCGCTGGTGTTGTTGGTGTTGCTTCTGGTATTGTTGGTGTTGCTGCTGGTGTTGTTGGTGTGGCCGCTGGTGTTGCTGCTGGTGTTGTTGGTGTTGCCGCTGGTGTTGCTGCTGGTGTTGTTGGTGTTGCCGCTGGTGTTGTTGGTGTTGCTGCTGGTGTTGTTGGTGTTGCTGCTGGTGTTGTTGGTGTTGCTTCTGGTGTTGTTGGTGTTGCCGCTGGTGTTGTTGGTGTTGCTGCTGGTGATGTTGGTGTTGCCGCTGGTGTTGTTGGTGTTGCTGTTGGTGGTGTTGGTGTTGTTGTTGGTGTTGCTGTTGCTGTTGGTGTTGCCGCTGGTGTTGTTGGTGTTGCTGCTGGTGTTGTTGGTGTTGCTGCTGGTGTTGTTGGTGTTGCTGCTGGTGTTGTTGGTGTTGCTGCTGGTGTTGTTGGTGTTGCCGCTGGTGTTGTTGGTGTTGCTGCTGGTGTTGTTGGTGTTGCCGCTGGTGTTGTTGGTGTTGCTGCTGGTGTTGTTGGTGTTGCTGCTGGTGTTGTTGGTGTTGCTGCTGGTGTTGTTGGTGTTGCTGCTGGTGTTGTTGGTGTTGCTGCTGGTGTTGTTGTTGTTGGTGTTGCCGCTGGTGTTGTTGGTGTTTTTGCTGGTGTTGTTGGTGTTGTTGCTGGTGTTGTTGGTGTTGCTGCTGGTGTTGTTAGTGTTGCCGCTGGTGTTGTTGGTGTTGCTGCTGGTGTTGTTGGTGTTGCCGCTGGTGTTGTTGTTGTTGGTGTTGCCGCTGGTGTTGTTGGTGTTGCTGCTGGTGTTGTTGGTGTTGCTGCTGGTGTTGTTGGTGTTGCTGCTGGTGTTGTTAGTGTTGCCGCTGGTGTTGTTGGTGTTGCCGCTGGTGTTGTTGCTGTTGCTGCTGGTGTTGTTGGTGTTGCTGCTGGTGTTGTTAGTGTTGCCGCTGGTGTTGTTAGTGTTGCTGCTGGTGTTGTTGGTGTTGCCGCTGGTGTTGTTGGTGTTGCCGGGTCTAAAAGGGGGTCTAAAGGCTCTAGTTATAGGTTAGGATAAGGAAAATTGGGTAAATGGTATTTAAATAGTTTTGGTGAGTTATATCCCTTTCTAACTAAGGTTAGGTTAAGGATGGTTAAGTTGAACTGATGTAGAGAAAATTCCCATTATTATCATATTTTCCATTAACCTCCCTCCCCCAGGTAATAGAGGTTAGGTTGAGGATGGTTGAATTATGTGAAAAAAAATATGCTACAAGTATGATGCAATATTGAACCAAGATTCGTGTATCAGAGGTTAGGTCCAGGGAGGTTGGGTTGATGCATAAACAACACCTTCTTCCCATATTTACGATAAATTTGAAATTAGATGAAGGGAGGTTAGGTCCAGGACGGTTGGGTTGATGTGTAAAAACAAAACACATACCCAACACTATATCTACAATATTGAACACAATTCCAAGTTTTAAAGGAGAGGGGCTGTTAGGTCCATATCCAAAACATCACTTTTCTATGAATATGGTTACAATGTTCAACAAAGAACCTAGCAGGTTAGGCACAGTGCGGATAGGTTCATATCCAAAACTTCAGTTTTCGAAGAAAAATAGATAAAATATTCAACAAAGCTCCAAGACTCTTGCAGGTTAGGCACGGGCATTTAGGTTCATATCCAAAAAACATCACTTCTCTGAGTATATGTAGTATCAGAGGCTAGGTCCAGGTTTAGATGGAATGGGAAATGTGGGTAAAATGGGTTTTGGCTGTGCTATGATACACAACATTTAGGCATATTTGGTGGAAATTGTCTCGAAATTTGGTGGCGATAGCTTAAATTTCCCCAACTTTAATCAAATCTGCTAGGTCAGGGTTAGGTAAGGCTATGTAGGGTAGGTTGGAATATGTGAAAACTTGGCTAAAATGGTCTTTGGCTGAGCTATGTAACAAAACATTTTGGGTATATTGGGTAGAAATTGTCTTCAATTAGGTTGAATTTAGGTGGGAAAGGCATAAATTTGGCCAACTATAATCAAATCTGACTTTGGATATGCCAGGAGAGGCTGGGTAGGGTTGTCTAGGGCAGGTTGGAATAGGTGAAAACTCAGCTAAAATGAGCTTTGGCCGTGCTATGTTCCAAAACATTTTTGGGTATATTTGGTGGAAATTGTCTTAAATTAGGTCAAATTTATATGGGATAACTTAAATTTCGCCGACTTTAACCAAATCTAGGTTAAGATATGCTAGGATAGGTTAGGTAAGGTTGCGTACGGTAGGATGGAATAGGAGAAAATGTAGATAAAAAATGGGCTTTGGCAATGCTATGATACAGAACATTTGGATATATTTGGTGGGAATTGTCTTAAATTAGGTCAAATTTAGGTGGGAATAGCTTAAATTTCATCAACTTGAACCAAAAATAGGTTTGGATATGCTAGGTTAGGTTAGGTAAGGTTGCATAGGGTAGGATGGAATAGGAGAAAATGTGGGTAACAATGGGCTTTGGCAGTGTTGTGATACACAACATTTGGGTATATTTGGTGGGAATTGCCTTAAATTAGATTGAATTTAGGTGGCATAGCTGTGTTGCTTCTGGTGTTGTTGGTGTTTCCGCTAGTGTTGTTGGTGTTGCTTCTGGTGTTGTTGGTGTTTCCGCTGGTGTTGTTGGTGTTGCTGCTGGTGTTGTTGGTGTTGCTGTTGGTGTTGCTGTTGGTGTTGCCGCTGGTGTTGTTGGTGTTGCTCTTGGTGTTGTTGGCGTTGCTGTTGGTGTTGCTGCTGGTGTTGTTGGTGTTGCTGTTGGTGTTGCTCTTGGTGTTGTTGGTGTTGCTGTTGGTGTTGTTGGTGTTGCCGCTGGTGTTGTTGGTGTTGCTGCTGGTGTTGTTGGTGTTGCTGCTGGTGTTGTTGGTATTGCTGCTGGTGTTTTTGATGTTCCTGCTGGTGTTGTTGGTATTGTTGGTGTTGCTGCTGGTGTTGATGGTGTTGCTGCTGGTGTTGTGTTGGTGTTGTTGGTGTTGCTGCTGGTGTTGTTGGTGTTGTTGGGGTTGCTGCTGGTGTTGTTGGTGTTGCTGCTGGTGTTGTTGGTGTTGCTGCTGGTGTTGTTGGTATTGTTGGTGTTGCTGCTGGTGTTGTTGGTGTTGCTGCTGGTGTTGTTGGTGTTGCTGCTGGTGTTGTTGGTGTTGTTGGGGTTGCTGCTGGTGTTGTTGGTGTTGTTGGTGTTGCTACTGGTGTTGTTGGGGTTGCTGCTGGTGTTGTTGGTGTTGCTGCTGGTGTTGTTGGTGTTGCTGCTGGTGTTGTTGGTGTTGCTGCTGTGTGTTGTTGGGGTTGCTGTTGGTGTTGTTGGGGTTGCTGCTGGTGTTGTTGGTGTTGCTGTTGGTGTTGTTGGTGTTGCTGCTGGTGTTGTTGGTATTGCTGCTGGTGTTGTTGATGTTGCTGCTGGTGTTGTTGGTATTGTTGGTGTTGCTGCTGGTGTTGTTGGTGTTGCTGCTGGTGTTGTTGGTGTTGTTGGTGTTGCTGCTGGTGATGTTGGTGTTGTTGTTGGGGTTGCTGCTGGTGTTGTTGGTGTTGTTGGTGTTGCTGCTGGTGATGTTGGTGTTGTTGTTGGGGTTGCTGCTGGTGTTGTTGGGGTTGCTGCTGGTGTTGTTGGTGTTGCTGCTGGTGTTGTTGGGGTTGCTGCTGGTGTTGTTGGTGTTGCTGCTGGTGTTGTTGGTGTTGCTGCTGGTGTTGTTGGGGTTGCTGCTGGTGTTGTTGGTGTTGCTGCTGGTGTTGTTGGTGGTGTTGTTGGGGTTGCTGCTGGTGTTGTTGGGGTTGCTGCTGGTGTTGTTGGGGTTGCTGCTGGTGTTGTTGGTGTTGCTACTGGTGTTGTTGGTGTTGTTGTTGGGGTTGCTGCTGGTGTTGTTGGGGTTGCTGCTGGTGTTGTTGGTGTTGCTGCTGGTGATGTTGGTGTTGTTGTTGGGGTTGCTGCTGGTGTTGTTGGGGTTGCTTCTGGTGTTGTTGGTGTTGCTGTTGGTGGTGTTGGTGTTGTTGTTGGGGTTGCTGCTGGTGTTGTTGGTGTTGCTGCTGGTGTTGTTGGTGTTGCTGCTGGTGTTGTTGGTGTTGCTGCTGGTGTTGTTGGGGTTGCTGCTGGTGTTGTTGGTGTTGCTGCTGGTGTTGTTGGTGTTGCTGCTGGTGTTGTTGGGGTTGCTGCTGGTGTTGTTGGTGTTGCTGCTGGTGTTGTTGGTGTTGCTGCTGGTGTTGTTGGTGTTGCTGCTGGTGTTGATAGTGTTGCTGCTGGTGTTGTTGGTTTTGCTGTTGGTGTTGCTGCTGGTGTTGTTGGTGTTGTTGGTATTGTTGGTGTTGGTGTTGCTGCTGGTGTTGTTGGTGTTGCTGTTGGTGTTGCTCTTGGTGTTGTTGGTGTTGCTGTTGGTGTTGTTGGTGTTGCCGCTGGTGTTGTTGGTGTTGCTGCTGGTGTTGTTGGTGTTGCTGCTGGTGTTGTTGGTATTGCTGCTGGTGTTTTTGATGTTGCTGCTGGTGTTGTTGGTATTGTTGGTGTTGCTGCTGGTGTTGATGGTGTTGCTGCTGGTGTTGTTGGTGTTGTTGGTGTTGCTGCTGGTGTTGTTGGTGTTGTTGGGGTTGCTGCTGGTGTTGTTGGTGTTGTTGGTGTTGCAACTGGTGTTGTTGGGGTTGCTGCTGGTGTTGTTGGTGTTGCTGCTGGTGTTGTTGGTGTTGCTGCTGGTGTTGTTGGTATTGTTGGTGTTGCTGCTGGTGTTGTTGGTGTTGCTGCTGGTGTTGTTGGTGTTGCTGCTGGTGTTGTTGGTGTTGGTGGGTTGTTTGCTGCTGGTGTTGTTGGTGTTGTTGGTGTTGCTACTGGTGTTGTTGGGGTTGCTGCTGGTGTTGTTGGTGTTGCTGCTGGTGTTGTTGGTGTTGCTGCTGGTGTTGTTGGTGTTGCTGCTGGTGTTGTTGGTGTTGCTGCTGGTGTTGTTGGGGTTGCTGCTGGTGTTGTTGGTGTTGCTGTTGGTGTTGTTGGTGTTGCTGCTGGTGTTGTTGGTATTGCTGCTGGTGTTGTTGATGTTGCTGCTGGTGTTGTTGGTATTGTTGGTGTTGCTGCTGGTGTTGTTGGTGTTGCTGCTGGTGTTGTTGGTGTTGTTGGTGTTGCTGCTGGTGATGTTGGTGTTGTTGTTGGGGTTGCTGCTGGTGTTGTTGGTGTTGCTGCTGGTGATGTTGGTGTTGTTGTTGGGGTTGCTGCTGGTGTTGTTGGGGTTGCTGCTGGTGTTGTTGGTGTTGCTACTGGTGTTGTTGGGGTTGCTGCTGGTGTTGTTGGTGTTGCTGCTGGTGTTGTTGGTGTTGCTGCTGGTGTTGTTGGGGTTGCTGCTGGTGTTGTGGTGTTGTTGGTGTTGCTGCTGGTGATGTTGGTGTTGTTGTTGGGGTTGCTGCTGGTGTTGTTGGGGTTGCTGCTGGTGTTGTTGGGGTTGCTGCTGGTGTTGTTGGTGTTGCTACTGGTGTTGTTGTTGGGGTTGCTGCTGGTGTTGTTGGGGTTGCTGCTGGTGTTGTTGGTGTTGCTGCTGGTGATGTTGGTGTTGTTGTTGGGGTTGCTGCTGGTGTTGTTGGGGTTGCTGCTGGTGTTGTTGGTGTTGCTGCTGGTGATGTTGGTGTTGTTGTTGGGGTTGCTGCTGGTGTTGTTGGTGTTACTGCTGGTGTTGTTGGTGTTGCTGCTGGTGTTGTTGGTGTTGCTACTGGTGTTGTTGGGGTTGCTGCTGGTGTTGTTGGTGTTGCTGCTGGTGTTGTTGGTGTTGCTGCTGGTGTTGTTGGGGTTGCTGCTGGTGTTGCTGGTGTTGCTGCTGGTGTTGTTGGTGTTGCTGTTGGTGTTGTTGGTGTTGCTGCTGGTGTTGATAGTGTTGCTGCTGGTGTTGTTGGTGTTGCTGTTGGTGTTGCTGCTGGTGTTGTTGGTGTTGTTGGTATTGTTGGTGTTGCTGCTGGCGTTGTTGGAGTTGCTGCTGGTGTTGTTGGAGTTGCTGCTGGTGTTGTTGGTGTTGCCGCTGGTGTTGTTGGTGTTGCCGCTGGTGTTGTTGGTGTTGCCGCTTGTGTTGTTGGTGTTGCCGCTGGTGTTGTTGTTGTTGGTGTTGCCGCTGGTGTTGTTGGTGTTGCTGCTGGTTTTGTTGGTGTTGCCGCTGGTGTTGTTGGTGTTGCTGCTGGTGTTGTTGGTGTTGCCGCTGGTGTTGTTGTTGTTGGTGTTGCCGCTGGTGTTGTTGGTGTTGCTGCTGGTGATGTTGGTGTTGCTGCTGGTGTTGTTGGTGTTGCTGCTGGTGTTGTTGGTGTTGCTTCTGGTGTTGTTGGTGTTGCCGCTGGTGTTGTTGGTGTTGCTGCTGGTGATGTTGGTGTTGCCGCTGGTGTTGTTGGTGTTGCCGCTGGTGTTGTTTGGTGCTGCTGCTGGTGTTGTTGGTGTTGCCGCTGGTGTTGTTGGTGTTGCTGCTGGTGTTGTTGGTGTTGCCGCTGGTGTTGTTGTTGTTGGTGTTGCCGCTGGTGTTGTTGGTGTTTTTGCTGGTGTTGTTGGTGTTGTTGCTGGTGTTGTTGGTGTTGCTGCTGGTGTTGTTAGTGTTGCCGCTGGTGTTGTTGGTGTTGCTGCTGGTGTTGTTGGTGTTGCCGCTGGTGTTGTTGTTGTTGGTGTTGCCGCTGGTGTTGTTGGTGTTGCTGCTGGTGTTGTTGGTGTTGCTGCTGGTGTTGTTGGTGTTGCTGCTGGAGTTGTTAGTGTTGCCGCTGGTGTTGTTGGTGTTGCCGCTGGTGTTGTTGCTGTTGCTGCTGGTGTTGTTGGTGTTGCTGCTGGTGTTGTTAGTGTTGCCGCTGGTGTTGTTAGTGTTGCTGCTGGTGTTGTTGGTGTTGCCGCTGGTGTTGTTGGTGTTGCCGGGTCTAAAAGGGGGTCTAAAGGCTCTAGTTATAGGTTAGGATAAGGAAAATTGGGTAAATGGTATTTAAATAGTTTTGGTGAGTTATATCCCTTTCTAACTAAGGTTAGGTTAAGGATGGTTAAGTTGAACTGATGTAGAGAAAATTCCCATTATTATCATATTTTCCATTAACCTCCCTCCCCCAGGTAATAGAGGTTAGGTTGAGGATGGTTGAATTATGTGAAAAAAAATATGCTACAAGTATGATGCAATATTGAACCAAGATTCGTGTATCAGAGGTTAGGTCCAGGGAGGTTGGGTTGATGCATAAACAACACCTTCTTCCCATATTTACGATAAATTTGAAATTAGATGAAGGGAGGTTAGGTCCAGGACGGTTGGGTTGATGTGTAAAAACAAAACACATACCCAACACTATATCTACAATATTGAACACAATTCCAAGTTTTAAAGGAGAGGGGCTGTTAGGTCCATATCCAAAACATCACTTTTCTATGAATATGGTTACAATGTTCAACAAAGAACCTAGCAGGTTAGGCACAGTGCGGATAGGTTCATATCCAAAACTTCAGTTTTCGAAGAAAAATAGATAAAATATTCAACAAAGCTCCAAGACTCTTGCAGGTTAGGCACGGGCATTTAGGTTCATATCCAAAAAACATCACTTCTCTGAGTATATGTAGTATCAGAGGCTAGGTCCAGGTTTAGATGGAATGGGAAATGTGGGTAAAATGGGTTTTGGCTGTGCTATGATACACAACATTTAGGCATATTTGGTGGAAATTGTCTCGAAATTTGGTGGCGATAGCTTAAATTTCCCCAACTTTAATCAAATCTGCTAGGTCAGGGTTAGGTAAGGCTATGTAGGGTAGGTTGGAATATGTGAAAACTTGGCTAAAATGGTCTTTGGCTGAGCTATGTAACAAAACATTTTGGGTATATTGGGTAGAAATTGTCTTCAATTAGGTTGAATTTAGGTGGGAAAGGCATAAATTTGGCCAACTATAATCAAATCTGACTTTGGATATGCCAGGAGAGGCTGGGTAGGGTTGTCTAGGGCAGGTTGGAATAGGTGAAAACTCAGCTAAAATGAGCTTTGGCCGTGCTATGTTCCAAAACATTTTTGGGTATATTTGGTGGAAATTGTCTTAAATTAGGTCAAATTTATATGGGATAACTTAAATTTCGCCGACTTTAACCAAATCTAGGTTAAGATATGCTAGGATAGGTTAGGTAAGGTTGCGTACGGTAGGATGGAATAGGAGAAAATGTAGATAAAAATGGGCTTTGGCAATGCTATGATACAGAACATTTGGATATATTTGGTGGGAATTGTCTTAAATTAGGTCAAATTTAGGTGGGAATAGCTTAAATTTCATCAACTTGAACCAAAAATAGGTTTGGATATGCTAGGTTAGGTTAGGTAAGGTTGCATAGGGTAGGATGGAATAGGAGAAAATGTGGGTAACAATGGGCTTTGGCAGTGTTGTGATACACAACATTTGGGTATATTTGGTGGGAATTGCCTTAAATTAGATTGAATTTAGGTGGCATAGCTGTGTTGCTTCTGGTGTTGTTGGTGTTTCCGCTAGTGTTGTTGGTGTTGCTTCTGGTGTTGTTGGTGTTTCCGCTGGTGTTGTTGGTGTTGCTGCTGGTGTTGTTGGTGTTGCTGTTGGTGTTGCTGTTGGTGTTGCCGCTGGTGTTGTTGGTGTTGCTCTTGGTGTTGTTGGCGTTGCTGTTGGTGTTGCTGCTGGTGTTGTTGGTGTTGCTGTTGGTGTTGCTCTTGGTGTTGTTGGTGTTGCTGTTGGTGTTGTTGGTGTTGCCGCTGGTGTTGTTGGTGTTGCTGCTGGTGTTGTTGGTGTTGCTGCTGGTGTTGTTGGTATTGCTGCTGGTGTTTTTTGATGTTCCTGCTGGTGTTGTTGGTATTGTTGGTGTTGCTGCTGGTGTTGATGGTGTTGCTGCTGGTGTTGTTGGTGTGTGTTGGTGTTGCTGCTGGTGTTGTTGGTGTTGTTGGGGTTGCTGCTGGTGTTGTTGGTGTTGCTGCTGGTGTTGTTGGTGTTGCTGCTGGTGTTGTTGGTATTGTTGGTGTTGCTGCTGGTGTTGTTGGTGTTGCTGCTGGTGTTGTTGGTGTTGCTGCTGGTGTTGTTGGTGTTGTTGGGGTTGATGCTGGTGTTGTTGGTGTTGCTGATGGTGTTGTTGGTGTGCTGATGGTGTTGTTGGTGTTGTGCTGGTGTTGTTGTATTGTTGGTGTTGCTGCTGGTGTTGTTGGTGTTGCTGCTGGTGTTGTTGGTGTTGCTGCTGGTGTTGTTGGTGTTGTTGGGGTTGCTGCTGGTGTTGTTGGTGTTGTTGGTGTTGCTACTGGTGTTGTTGGGGTTGCTGCTGGTGTTGTTGGTGTTGCTGCTGGTGTTGTTGGTGTTGCTGCTGGTGTTGTGGTGTTGCTGCTGGTGTTGTTGGGGTTGCTGTTGGTGTTGTTGGGGTTGCTGCTGGTGTTGTTGGTGTTGCTGTTGGTGTTGTTGGTGTTGCTGCTGGTGTGTTGGTATTGCTGCTGGTGTTGTTGATGTTGCTGCTGGTGTTGTTGGTATTGTTGGTGTTGCTGCTGGTGTTGTTGGTGTTGCTGCTGGTGTTGTTGGTGTTGTTGGTGTTGCTGCTGGTGATGTTGGTGTTGTTGTTGGGGTTGCTGCTGGTGTTGTTGGTGTTGCTGCTGGTGATGTTGGTGTTGTTGTTGGGGTTGCTGCTGGTGTTGTTGGGGTTGCTGCTGGTGTTGTTGGTGTTGCTACTGGTGTTGTTGGGGTTGCTGCTGGTGTTGTTGGTGTTGCTGCTGGTGTTGTTGGTGTTGCTGCTGGTGTTGTTGGGGTTGCTGCTGGTGTTGTGGTGTTGTTGGTGTTGCTGCTGGTGATGTTGGTGTTGTTGTTGGGTTGCTGCTGGTGTTGTTGGGGTTGCTGCTGGTGTTGTTGGGGTTGCTGCTGGTGTTGTTGGTGTTGCTACTGGTGTTGTTGTTGGGGTTGCTGCTGGTGTTGTTGGGGTTGCTGCTGGTGTTGTTGGTGTTGCTGCTGGTGATGTTGGTGTTGTTGTTGGGGTTGCTGCTGGTGTTGTTGGGGTTGCTGCTGGTGTTGTTGGTGTTGCTGCTGGTGATGTTGGTGTTGTTGTTGGGGTTGCTGATGGTGTTGTTGGTGTTACTGCTGGTGTTGTTGGTGTTGCTGCTGGTGTTGTTGGTGTTGCTACTGGTGTTGTTGGGGTTGCTGCTGGTGTTGTTGGTGTTGCTGCTGGTGTTGGTGGTGTTGCTGCTGGTGTTGTTGGTGTTGCTGCTGGTGTTGCTGGTGTTGATGCTGGTGTTGTTGGTGTTGCTGTTGGTGTTGTTGGTGTTGCTGCTGGTGTTGATAGTGTTGCTGCTGGTGTTGTTGGTGTTGCTGTTGGTGTTGCTGCTGGTGTTGTTGGTGTTGTTGGTATTGTTGGTGTTGCTGCTGGCGTTGTTGGAGTTGCTGCTGGTGTTGTTGGAGTTGCTGCTGGTGTTGTTGGTGTTGCCGCTGGTGTGTTGGTGTTGCCGCTGGTGTTGTTGGTGTTGCCGCTTGTGTTGTTGGTGTTGCCGCTGGTGTTGTTGTTGTTGGTGTTGCCGCTGGTGTTGTTGGTGTTGCTGCTGGTTTTGTTGGTGTTGCCGCTGGTGTTGTTGGTGTGCTGCTGGTGTTGTTGGTGT